GAGATTGATGCCGGTTGAATGAGGTGTGATCATCGAATGAGAAGTGGATGATGCCGCTTGCGCGAGGACGCATATGAGATGGCGTTCATTCAATTTTCAAAGGATTTTACCGGTGCATCAATGGAAGACCTTGCTTGGTTAGGGATGCATGCCGGCGTTTGCACTTGCGAGCCTTTTTTGTGACGTGAAGTGATGCCATCTTTGCTTGTATTTGAGTGCCACAATCATTGTCTTGTGAGAAATTTGTGATGGTGACTGAATGACAACTGGATCCTGAATGACAGGTGGATCTTGAATGTCAAGTGGATGACGATTGGAATGAGAAGTGGATGACGATTGCGGGATGAGAAGTGATGACGATTGCGGGAAGAGAGATGGATGACGGTTGCGGGATTAGAAGTGAGTGTTTGTGGTAGAGATTATATGGAACGAGAAGTAGGTAATGCTGGCTGGATATGAAGTGATTCTCAAATGAGAAGTAGATCTTTTCTTTGATTTTTCTTTTGATTTTTTATTGATCTTTTCTTTGATTTTTCTTTTGATTTTTTATTGATCTTTTCTGTCTCTTTATCTTTCTTTTTTGATCTTCTTTTCTTTTTTCTTCTTTTTTTATTTTCTTTTTTCTTTTTTCTTTTTCTTCTTCTTTTCTTCTTCTATTTTTATGCAGTTGCAACGCAAGATATTGCTTCAGGATGTGTGAGAGGAGGAGTGAGAATAGCAAAGAACGAGTTCTTTGATCCCAAGAAAGGATGGCGTAAGGATGAGAAAGCAAGTGTCGTGTAAGATGTTGCAAGAGTGATCAAGTCGCAATTTTGATTGATGATCAAGTAATGCCATCTTAACCATGAAAGTTGTTTGTGAAGTGAATTTTGGAACCGTTGAGTAAACATGGTGCTGCTGTAACGGTGTCGGAAGACTTGACTAATGGCAATGGCAAGTGCACCATTCCGGCTGATGTTTCACTTGTTCGGATGATACGTTTGAATTTTGATCTTGCATGCATCAGCAAAGGGAAGAACGATGGATTCGACTGCTCCCTTGATCTTTCGAAGACTCTCTCGAATTGTCCGGGGAAACATTTGGTTGATTTGGGCCCCATTCAGTCGTTTGTAGGAGAGGTGTGTGATGTTGATTGTACGAAGTGGATTATACCAGTTGAATGAGGACACAGATGAGATGGCGAGCATCAATGGAAGACCTTGGCTGGCTAGGTTGTATGCTGGCGTTTGCACTTGTGAGGCTTTTTTTTGTGAAGTGAATTGATGCCTTGTTTGCTTGTATTTGAATGTCAAAATCATTGTCTTGTGAGAAGTTTGTGATGCTGATTGGATGGCAAGTGGGTCTTGAATGACAAGTGGATGATGATTGGAATGAGATTGGGTGGTGGGGGTTGCGGTCGATCCGAAAAGGCGGATTACATATAATGTACCTTTCAT